AATTATTAGAAGGCCTAATTAGAAAACGAAGCCGCACAGACAATTGCCGGATTTTCTCTCACTAACACTAATTATTTTGAAGCCGTAAATATTCTTAAAGAGAGATTTTGACAGACACACAAAATTACGCAAGCTTACCTACAAGCACTACTTGATATTACGCCACCCCGAAATAACCTCATAAGCCTGAGATTTTTTATGGCAAGATGGAGAGTTTAGTTAGAGGACTTCAATCGCTTGGAGGGGCCTCGGTGGCCGAGTGGTCTAAGTAGTTACTAGTGTAATCACTAACCAGTCAACACTGAGGTTGAGTTCGAACCCCGCTCGTGCGGGTTCACTCGACTCCAATCGTATTTGACTAGGATTGTCAGTTTTCCTATCGAAGGTCGGTGGTTTTCTCCAACGCTTCCTCCACCAATAAATACTGGCCGCCACGAAATAGCCCAAAAGCGGTGCCTAAAAGTGGCGTTAAAACACCAAAAATCAAAATCAAATCATATCAATCGCTTGGACAGACACAGGACACGTACGGTAATTTATTAGTCCCTATTATATTAAACAAACTACCCGGATAAATCAGAAAATATTTTTCGTCGGTGCTAAATCACCAAGAAAACACAATATCACTACTAGAAAAGTACATCAGCATTTAATAGCTAAGCTGTGCATTTTCTGCAAAGATATTCATTCGCCTACTTATTGCCCAAAAATACACGATTCAGAAAAACGCATCGCTATCGGTAAACGTAACAATTAATGTTTCAACTGCCTATGTACACATCACATAAAGGAATGCAAATCGAAAAGCTCGTAAGTTGAAGACACCGCAAACCCTGGCAAGAGAAGTAACAACCGTTTTACTGACACTAATAATACTGTTAACAGTTGTAAAAATCAAAGTACTCCAGCTACATCAACTGTAGTTAATCTTGACGAGAGTACTCGAAATTTTACACTATTTAGCACAAGTTCGCTGTTTGATGAAGGCGCTCAAAGGTCTTTTGTAATGGAGAGTCTTGCATGTTAATTAAACCTGCAGAGATAAGGAGCCGACAATATTCAACTTTTATCATTTGGAGAAACCAACACGAGTGTTAGGCGACTTGATAAAGCCACAGTATATGTTGAAACTGAAACCGGACATAAAATCCAAATGGAGGTTTTAATTATTCCTATGATAGCTACGCCGATACAGAACCACATCGTTACATCAACAGGAACAGTAACTATTTGAAAGGAATAAAGCTCGCACACCAAGTTACACAACAGGATACCTTTGAAATTTCATTATTAGCAGATTTTTATTGGAAAATAGTTGAAGATAAAGTTGTACGCTGAAACGGACCCACCGCAGTCAAGTCGAAACTCGGGAATTTTTTTGGACCTTTTTTTTGGCTAAAAAACATAAAATAAGTGTAAAATGCACTTTTTTAACGATTCCTGACGTAAGGCATGTATATTTTATAGTTAAAGTGTAAGGGTTGGACATTTTTGATGCCGCATTCTCCCCATTAATTGTCTATTATAAAATGATTGGATGGATCCAAAGCTATGTACTAATATATTTGATGTGGGACTTGTCAGTAAAAAAATGACATGGAAAATTCTCGTTTGTTGTATGTTTAGTTAGCATAACGTCACGGATTTCTTGTTTTAAACAAGATATACGCCGGGCTATTCAATGAAATTTACAATACGACCGACACGAGTTAAGAAAGACAAAGAAGCAATTTTTATCCAAATGTTTGGTTGAAATGTTTCACCCAACAAGGGAAGTGAGGGGTTCCAAATCAACCAAGGGCTACGAATGAGTCTGAAATGACAACGAATATATGAATGACGGTCGACAAATGGAGACATAAAGGCCACACCCAGCAGGCAGGTTGCAGTCGGGCCTTGAAAAAGTATTCATTTTATCAGTTCGACGAAACAGACATTCCGGTCAGATACGGGACTTACATGCTAACCCCCGGCCCCAAAAAAATTACGCCCGTTTTTTTATTCATCATGTTCATTTAATGCTAAAAAATTCTGTTGGAAATTTTTGTTTCTAATAGCAAACTAAAGAGCCTGTGTCGCTTACCTTGGTCTATGTGCATGTTAAACAAAGGACACGGATGGATTCATGACAAAATTGTGTTTTGGTGATGGTGATGTGTTTGTAGATATTACTTTACTGAACATTCTTGCTGCTTACAATTATCTCTATCTATAATGAACTTGGCCCAGTAGTTACAGTGGAAAATATTTTGTAAAAATTTACAAAAATTTACAAAATTTATGAAAATTGTAAAAAATTTACTATAAAGGGCAATAACTCCTTAAGGGGTTAATTGACAATTTTGGTAATGTTGACTTATTTGTAGATCTTACTTTGCTGTACATTATTGCTGTTTACAGTTTATCTCTATCTATAATAATATTCAAGATAATAACCAAAAGCTGCAAAATTTTCTTAAAATTACCAATTCAGGGGCAGCAACCCAACAACGTGTTGCCTGATTGGTCTGAAAATTTCAGGGCAGATAGATCTTGACCTAATGAACAATTTTATCCCGGTCAGATTTGCTCTAAATGCTTTGGTTTCAGAGATATGAGCCAAAAACTGCATTTTACCCTATGTACTATTTTTTAGCCATGTCGGTCATCTTGGTTCGTGGGCGGGGTCATCGGACACATTTGTTTAACTAGATACCCTAATGATGATTGTGGACAAGTTTGGTTAAATTTGTCTTAGTAGTTTCAGAGGAGAAGATTTTTGTAAAAGATTACAACAATTTACGAAAAATGGTTAAAAATTGACTATAAAGGGCAATAATTCCTTAAGGGATCAACTGACCATTTTGGTCATGTTGACTTATTTTTAGATCTTACTTTGCTGAACATTATTGCTGTTTCCAGTTTATCTCTATCTATAATAATATTCAAGATAATAACCAAAAAACGGCAAAATTTCCTTAAAATTACCAATTCAGGGGCAGCAACCGAACAACGGGTTGTCCAATTCATCTGAAAATTTCAGGGCAGATAGATCTCGACCTGATAAACATTTTTACCAATGTCAGATTTGCTTTAAATGCTTTGGTTTCAGAGATATAAGTCAAAATCTACATTTTACCCCTATGTTCTATTTTTAGCCATGGCGGCCATCTTGGTTGGTTGGCCGAGTCACCGGACACATATTTTAAAATAGATACCCCTATGATGATTGTGGCCAAGTTTGGATAAATTTGGCCAAGTAGTTTCAGAGGAGAAGATTTTTGTAAAAGTTAACAGACGAAGGATTACGGACGCCAAGTGATGAGAAAAGCTCACTTGGCCCTGTGGGCCAGGTGAGCTAAAAAAGTGGACAAGATTATTGTTTTCAATCCAGATACGGCCAGAATTTTTGTTTAAGGCAAAAATCAGGGTCAGAATTTTTTCTCTCAAACATCTTAGACTGCCCCCTCAAATCAAATGGTCAGTACCTTAGACATTAAATCTATCTAGAGCTTATTGACTGGGGATCATTATTCAGCTATGTTATTAATAGGCTGGGGCGTGTTGGGTTAAACATGTTTTAGTAGGTAAATAATATTGCTGTGGAAAATTTTTTTCATGAAAGTGTAATAGAGTATTACTTTCTGTTCGGTGGAATTGTGAAATAGAAGTCAATAAATACGTTCTTGCTCAATCCTTTGTCGCTTTGAAGGTGTCATGATTGTCATCCTCAGCCTAAGCAATGTGTTACTGTAATTTAAATTTCAAAATGACTGAGTGACGTTTTTTCGACACATTGGTCAACTCCACCGTAGCGAATCACATGATTTTAACATAATCAATAATATACTACAGTAAATACGAGCGAAACATATCTTTATAAGTAAAGAATTGTCGCATAATAATTAAATAAGCGGAAAATGGCAAAGTTCACGGAGTCTAGTCTGATTAATCATTTTACAAAAAAAAAAAAAAAAAAAAAGTGCAAGCAAAGGGGGGCGTACGCCCTCTACGCCCCCCTCTGGATCCGCCACTGCAGATATACACGAAAAAAAGGGAATGTTTATACCAGAAGTTACCAAGAATCTTCAATTCAGTTTCGTGAAAACAAACATTATGCAAAGTTACCTAGGAAACACAACAACAAGTAAAGAGAACATTGACTTTGGAAGCTAAAATGATCAAGCATATTTGTTTAAAAATGTACGTATGACCCGATGAATATGGACTGTTACACGGTTTATTATATGAACTGCGTTTAGTTTGATTGTGAAAGATCTGTGAAAAATGTTTAGTTGAGAGACTTTAATTTCAATTTAATTTATATAAATTGTATTTCAATTTTCTTTTCTATGTAAAGTACTTTTTAGGCCCCGAGAATGTTGAGAAGACCGTGGGACCGGAAACGTCTTGAATTATCTTTGTATCCAAGGTCGACTTCACATCGGCAACGTAGCCTTAGCTTTGATTAGCAACAAGTAAAACGTCAAACTGAATAGCTTTTGTTTGTTATGTTAAGAGTCAGATAATAAGAAATAGTCCCCACATATGCTACCCTACCATGACCAATTTACCGAATTTTGGCTGACCAGTTTTTACTATTAATACCAAATGCTGCTTGCTCCAGCGCACAACACGACCACCAAGGCTATGTCAGATTTCTAAGTATTTTGATAAAAGTTGAACTTCAACTTGGTCTCTTTGCTCATGTATTAATTCTACTAGCAACAACAAAACTGATTAAATTCGAAATTTTTTTTAGACTAAAGGTTGACAGAACTATATTGATTAGAATATGAATGACTTTTAGACTTTTAGGCCTTTAGGAAATTAGACCTTAAGCATTGCAAATGTTTGGTTTTTTTTGAGATATTTTGTTTTATTATGGATAATAACAGACAGTAGGCTTTAAGCATAGGAATATGTCGTTTTGAGGTCAGGGTTATTTTGCTATGGTCTGTCTTCATAGAATAGAGCCGATAAGAAAAATTAATAAAAGTAAAAACAAAAACAAAAACAAATACAAATGATATTTTTATTATTAAAATATATATTATCTGAAATGATTATTTACATTCATGTCTGACAACACATCTAAATACTGAAAATATTTAATGAAACCGTGCATTTTTCCCCACAAATTTGTTCAGTGTCAACTATGACATAGATTGAACCTTGAACTCTGACCTCTAGAACAAGAGCTTTACATACAAAAACTCTAGAAAATGAGTTATCTTTCGTAATTTGTTTCCTAACCAGCATTAGTTTACATGATATTGGAGATTTTTGCACTTTATTTTGTTACAATTATAAATATTAAGGATGTTTGCTGCTTTTGTTTTTGAATTCTTGTCAGATATTTGGAATCCTCTGGTTTTATTGATGTTATGCCATTAAAAGATTTGACTGCCAATCCCTATTTTCAGAAATCCTTGTTATTTTTTCATTGTTTTATCAAGGAAAAGAGGTGCCAATGTTAAACTAAATGAGAGAGCATCATTTCCTGCCAAATTTTCAACGGCTAATATCTCAAAAACAAAGACATGAACCATCAACTTTTTTCTACTCTTTTAGGTCCAGTTTTTTCATACTACCAATATATAAAAGTTAAAAAGCTTTTTATTTTGAAATAGAATAGGGAACATCCTTAAATAAGGGAATGTGGTGATTGCCAATAAGAAAACTATCAACTAATGTGAACAACTACAGGTAGCTGTAAATTATACAACAATAAAAAATACATATACTTTATAGTCAACTATAAATTTCATAGAAAGTTTCTTAGAACCCTGCGTCGCGCCTGCTGCTGTCAGTGCAATACTGTCATGTTGACTGCAAAAAACTAAATGCATTTATCAATTAAAGGCATAAAAATATAAAACTTTATTTTCATTAGATGCAATTTCTAGAAAAAGTTTTTGTGCAAGTTTCATGAAATTCCATGAGGGTTTGACAAATGAATTGATATCTGAAAAACTGTTTCCCCCCATTGCATCTTAATTTTAACTGTGAATAAAACTGTCCATGTATCAGTAAAATAAGGAAAATGAAAAAATATATTTTCAAAATTTAACACTGAATACTGTCTTTTCATCATAACAAAGCTTTTGTCCAAGTCTCATAAAATTCCATGAAGGTTTGAGAAAGTTATTGATGTTAAAAAACTATAAGTACAGACTGAACCTAAATGTTGATGCCTCTGACAACAGCATGGAAGATCTCTATGTCTGATATTTTTTTTCATGTTTATATTTTAATAAGTTCTATTTACATCATGTTCAAAAACAGGCTTCCAAAAAAAAAGAGAAAATTGACCAAAAAAAAAAACAGATTAGAAAAAATGGCCCAAAATTTCAAGAATAGAGAATAGTGAGGTGCAAAAATACAAAAAAAGGGAATAGTGGGCAAAAAAAACATGTATATGACACATGGCATTACAAATTAAAGAAATACAGATATGAAACCCCTCCCCAACCACCAAGACCCTTTTTAATGCACACTTTTATATATAGCCACTAACTGTTTCTAAACAAAATAAATGGGGAATGTGTCCATGGGACACAGATGGTGCCCCCACTTGCATATATTGTTATAAAGGGACAAAACTCAAGAACGGTAAAACTGACACTACCCAAATTTGAACTTGATCTGAGTTTTGTGGTAATAAACATTGTTTAAAAGTTTCATAACATTTAGTTGACGTAAACTTAAATTAGAGAACAGAAACGAAAAATTCAGCAATTTTTCCATTTTTAAAGGGGCATAACTCTAGAACAGTAGTAGTTACGCCACCAAAATTCAATCTTTTTCTGTGTTTTGTGGTAATTAGCATTGTGCATAAGTTTCATAACAATTGGTTGAGGCAAACTAAAGTAAGAGAACAGAAACAAATATTTCAGCAATTTTGAGATTTGTAAAGGGCATAACTCTAGAACGGTAAAAGTGACGCCAACATAAATCAAACTTGATCTGTGTATTGTGGTAATTAGCATTGTGCATAAGTTTCATAACATTTAGTTGAGGCAAACTAAAGTTAGAGAACAAAAACTAATATTTCAGCAATTTTTCCATTTGTAACGGGGCATATCTTTAGAACAGTGAAAGTGACACCACCAAAATTCAAACTTGATCTGTGTTTTGTGGTAATAAACATTGTGGATTAGTTTCATAACATTTGGTTGAGGCAAACTCAAGTTAGAAAACGGAAACAAAAAAAATCAGCATTTTTTTCATTTGTAAAGGGGCATTTCTCTAGAACAGTAAAAGTGACGCCACCAAAATTCAAACTTGATCTGTGTTTTGTGGTAATAAACATTGTGGATAAGTTTCATAACATTTGGTTTAGGCAAACTAGAGTTAGAGAATGGAAACCAATTTTGAGACGTACGGACTGACATACGGATGGACAGACGTACAGATGGACAAGGGTAAAACTTAATGCCCCCTCCGCTACGGCAGGGGCATAACAAATGGTTATGTAACACTTAAGTGTATTGGAAAAATGGATGATTGACGATTATTGAAACTATGTCTAATTTCACTACTAATGAAAAGTACATAATACATTAACGACTTTTCTCTCTAATTTGTACTCTGGTCTTAAACATATTATGATGAACTAATTAATTCAAACATCATCAAGATCAAGGAAAGATTTTACATATTAATCATTTGAAAAATGACAATAACCAATTGATTTCATCAAGTTCAAATGTAGCACATACCATAAAAATGCTATTAAACCTAGAGTGGGAATCCGAAGTCTAACAAGCTTTTCAGTTTGTCAACATATTAAACTAGAGGCTCTAAAGAGCCTGTGTCGCTCACCTTGGTCTCTGTGCTGCAGTGCATATTAAACAAAGGACACTCTATAACATAGAATTCATGACAAAGTTCTGTGTTTTGGTGATGGTGACTTGTTTGTAGATCTTACTTTACTGAAAATTCTTGCTGTTTACAGTTATCTCTATCTATAATGAACTTGGCCCAGTAGTTTCAGAAGAAAAGATTTTTGTAAAAGATTAAAATATTTACAAAAAATTGTGAAAAATTGACTTTAAAGGGCAATAACTCCTGAAGGGGTCAATTGACAGTTTTGGTCATGTTGACTTATTTGTAGATCTTACTTTGCTGAACATTTTTGCTGTTTTCAGTTTATCTCGATCTAATATAATATTCAAGATAATAACCAAAAACTGCAAAATTTCCTTAAAATTACGAATTCAGAGGCAGCAACCCATCAACGGGTTGTCTGATGCGTCTGAAAAGTTTAAAGCAGATAGATCTTGACCTGAGGAACATTTTTACCCCCATATCAGATTTGCTCTAAATGCTTCAGTTTCAGAGATATAAGCCAAAAACTGCATTTTACCCCCATGTTCTATTTTAAGCCACGGCAGCCGTCTTTGGTTGATGGACAGGGTCATCGGATACATTTTTAAAACTAGATACCCTAAGGATGATTTAGGCCAAGTTTGGTTTAATTTGGCCCAGTAGTTTCAGAGGAGAAGATTTTTGTAAAAGATAACAAAAATTTACGAAAAAATTGAGAAAAAAATTACTTTTAAAGGGCAATAACTCTTTATGGGGTCAAATGACAATTTTGGTCATGTTTTTGACTTATTTGTAGATCTTACTTTGCTGAACAATTTTGCTGTTTACAGTTTATCTCTATCTATTATAATATTCAAGATAATAACCAAAAACTGCAAAATTTCCTTAAAATTACCAATACAGAGGCAGCATCCCAACAACGGGTTGTCTGATGCGCCTGAAAATTTCAGGGCAGATAGATCTTGACCTGATGAACATTTTTACCAATGTCAGATTTGCACAAAATGCTTTAGTTTCAGAGATATAAGCCAAAAACTGCATTTTACCCCCATGTTCTATTTTTAGCCACGGCGGCCATCTTGGTTGATAGGCAGGATCATCGGATACAATTTTTCAACTAAATACCCTAAGGATGATTCAGGCCAAGTTTGGTTTCATTTGGCCCAGTAGTTTCAGAGGAGAAGATTTTTGTAAAAGTTAACAGACGATGACGACGACGGATGAGGAACGCCAAGTGATGAGAAAAGCTTACTTTTTTCAATTGATATGATAATCACAGAGAGACATATATATAATATACACACAATGAAATGGGAATGTTGTAGGTCAGAAATTAGGAGAAAATGTGTAGATTTCCATCAACAATTAAAAATTAAAGTTATTGAGTTTTAAAAAAGTAACATTCTATAACTGAAAATGAACTGTCAAAATGTGTATCTAGTGCAGAAGAATTGATTTTGTTACTACCACTGGATCGATACCTCTGCTGGTTGACTGTTAGTCCCCAACGGTATTAACAGCCCAGTAGCCAGTACTTTGGTACTGGCATGAAAATATGGATACAGTGTTATCAAAATTTGCTGTTACATTATTTTGGAAATTATTTCAATTTAAGGAATACATCTCCTTCATGCAAAGCTCTGAAACCTTGACCAACTTAGGCTATACTTTTTTGTCTATAAGCTCTAATTTTGGATTTTCAAATATTTTGGCCTTTGTGCATCACCGAAGAGACATTAATGGTCTAAATGTGTATCTGGTGTAGAAATATTGGTACTGTTATAAACTCAGTGGCAAAATGCAGTTTAATTATTGCATGAAATGAAATAGTGTGTGCAGGACTTCTATGTATAAATGAATAAAAAAGGACACTTTTTCCAAATCAGTATTTGATAAAAAAAGGTTTTTATTTCAAACAATTCTAGCAACCTGATATTAATGTTAGATACAGTAATTTCTATTTTTTTTTAACTTTGCATTGATTCTCACTACAATTAGAAAATAAGCTATCATTGTTAAAAATTTTAAAAGTACATAATTTAACAATACTAGATAAATCAGAACATAAAAAATTGGATTTCTCTACAGTATATAACAATCAAACATTGACTTACAATGTATAACAAAATATAATCACACTTTGACATTCTAGTTGCCATGTAATTATAGATTATCGATAGTTTTCTTCAGCTACATTGTCATTGAAGGAGAACAGCCCTGAGATGAGATGTAGTCAAGAAACATCCTCACATTTGAAAGCACATTGATAATCTTTTTAACACTGTTTTCCTAGGCATTGTCAATGACATCGACTCATGAAGTCATACATTCTCTTTCTCTTATCTGAGAAAAACTCATATCATTCGAGAAGCATGATATGAAAAATGATCACAAAAAAGATCAAAGCAAAACTAAAACAAATAGTGATAAAAAAAATATTGATGATAACAGAAATGTCATTATTACAAAAATTATACAGAAAACAAACATAACAATAAATTTCACTCATTCAATAATATCCATTCAACTTCCAAACATAAATATTGATACCATATTTAGTGTGATTAACCAATTCCAATAGCGGACTGGTGGAGTGCAAAAATACACATTAGCTGTAGTGTAACAAATATACTACAATAAATGAGATAGCATGGATTCATTTATAATCCTGGATACCAATTTTCTTGGATTAAGGAAATTTTTTTATGTTCTTGGATATTGAATTTCGTAGTTAAGCCAAAATCTTCTTACAACCTATAGTAACTTGTACTTTAAAAGTAAAACTTTAAAGTCTTAGCAGAACAACTAAATTTGTGGTTTACCTGTATAAAGTGTATCACCAACTTCAAATGACACAATAACATTCAGGGCCACTTGCAAACCAATTTTTACCTGAAAAGTCAATGATGATCTAAAAACTTAAAAAAATTATTACTTGTGGTTCAGTCTTTTCAGACAAAATTCAGACTTATCCACTGCAGTAAATTCAGAACTGTTCAGATAATTCTCTTGCAGTCAATTAAGATTTGTTTAGTTTTTGTTTAGTAGTTTTTATTTATCTGTTCAAAACAAAAACATACTAAATTTGTCTGAAGAGCTACTTGACAGTACTAGTACCAGATTGACTGCAAGCCAAATGTCTTAACAGTACTGAAGATACATACTTTCAGATGATGTTAAGATCAACATGGCCGTTTAAGACAAATATTAATTAACCAGTTGGCTACACATATATTGTTAACAAATATTGTCAGAAATGATAAAATTAATTTGTACAAGAACAAAAACAGTAAAGCCATGTATAATTATTTCTATCATCCTCAAGTTTATCTATTTGATGTTAATGTTAAGCTTTTTAATCCCAAGACCTTCTTTTCTCTAGAAAAAAATAAAAAAATGCTTGAACCCTCACCCAATGTGGACTAAACATAAACATTTGGTGATAACAGAAATGTCATAATAGTTAAAGGGGTAATTCCAGAACAATAAAAAAGTAAATTGTACTTTGTGGTGGATATATAAGCAGAGGTGGATTCAAACAATAATAACCCAAAACTTTAAAGTCTTATTGACAGGTGGGGATACAATGTGTTAAGTACAGGTACAGTCTAATTCCATCTTGATAAAATTGCTAATGGTTATACCTTCAAAATTGATGTGTCCACTCAATACGCTCTTTTAAAATACCTTTCCAAGGAACTAATTCAAACAGCTCTGTTACAAAAAATAAAAATAAATTTAGAAGCATACAATGTTATGCTATACCTTTTTCCATTAAGCCTTTTATAAAAATATAAGAAAATGAAATAGATTCTGCACACAGAGTTCAGAACTATTATGCATGGCAGTGTCCTGAAAATTGGTAGTCCTGTTGGTCCTGACCACCAAAGTTAGGTAGGTCCACCAATTTTGAATGTAGAAGCGAGGGTTATTAATGTCCACAAAAATTTTGTGGTTTAATTGGGGTTTTTTTTGCGGACTAGTATTTAGTATAGCTCTTGATTACAATGTATGTTAATATTTGATATTAAACAATATAATTATTGTGCAAATTGGCCTTATCTTATCTATAGCAACATGTATAAAAATGTGAAGGAAATTAAAAAATTTCTGCAAATACATATACAGGACCACAAAAATTTTCTTTTTCCAGAATTGAGTTCTGTATGGTCCTGATTATATGACCACCAGACTTAAAAACCTTTCTAGAACTATGCAACTACAAATAACTCTTTCACTGACTTGAAACACCACCAGATTTGTAGTCTTGTTGTTACCACCAGGCTTAAAAACTTTTCTAGGACTCTGTATATGCAACTTAAATAAACTCTTTCAATCACTGGTAAGTGTAGATGCAGACAATTGTACATAAATGACTAAGTTCAGCAGTTGTCACGTCCATGTTGTGTCATAACCTGTCCACCCTTCCGGAGGGGCTAAATAAATTCTTTGACCTGAACGCATAAAGCTAACAACACCACGGTAAGCAACCCTAGGTACACCAGCCTGAAATACAAAAAAAATATCATCTTTTTCAATATCAAAATAGAAGATGTGGTATGATTGCCAATAAGACAACTCTCCACAAGAGACCATGTGACATGAAAGTAAACAACTATAGGTCAATGTAAGGCCTTCCACTATAGTTCATTTCAAACATGAATCATTAAAATAATAGAAACACTCCTGGATTCTTACCCAAAGGAGAAAGTATGATAAGGCCACTTTTTTTTTTACTGTTTGAATTTTAAAAGAAAAAAAATTAAAAATTTTCCAAATAGCATCCATCAGATATTCATTAGTCTCAAAGATATCAGAATAAATAGTTTTTTTAATTTTGCTTTTTATATTTGCATTTAGCCTTTAAATCTTTTGATGTCTTCATCTTGTCATTAATTTGGATATGAACCTAGACTATATCAAAAAAAAATATTTTATTACAAAATGTATTTAATAAATATTTTCTTTTTGGGTAAGGCTCAGTTTTAGTTTGTAACCCAGATTTGTTTTTTTCTCAATCGATTTATGAATTTCGAATAGCGGTATACTACTGTTGCCTTTATTTGACTCATATCTTTTTGACGAAAAATTGGGTAAAATGGCAAATTTTTGTCAAATATGTCAATTTCGACATGTTTATGTCACAGTGACATCATTGCACTCTGAAGTGTTCACATTATAGTACCAAAAAACCTGAAATCTTTCCACACAGATCTGGTCATGTTAAGAGAACTTCAGGTCATTTCAAAATTGTCAAACTTTTATTAGAAGTCACAGGATAAACCAACTTGTACCAACTGCTTTAACAGCATGAAATTTGTTTCCTTTTTGTGAACTAATTGAAGATCAATTCGTCAAATTCAACACTTAATAATTTAAATAATTTTAATGACTTTAATTTCTCAAGAATGGACTATGCTTCTTTTGACTGTGAGATAAAAAAAAAACCCCAGAAATAACAAGTTATCATAAATTATTAAAATATAAATAGGGATTCATCTATGGGATTAGTTCTGATTAGCAAATAGCAGAAAATCATCTTATTTTTAATTTTATTACTTATTAAAGTCTTTAAATATGACTTATAGTTATCATACAATACAGAATGTCAGTTTTATCATCAGAAAAGCAAAAATTCATCCAATATGGCAATTAAAAAACTCTAACCTCCCAATAGAGCCCAATTTTTGACCTTATTCATATCTGTACTATTTTTTTTCTTGATTTAAATCCCAATATAGTTTTGATCATTACCCTTTTAGAATTGGTTATGTCTGGCAAATATGACAATTTTCTGACACTCTTATCACCCTCTTAATTTATCAATTAAATTATCACAGTTTTGAAAGTCTTGTATGAATTCACGTTTTTTGCGTGGGCCAAATAATGGCTCTTATCAAACCCTTATTTCTTACTTTGAATGTACAATGCAGTTCTGGTGTGGATACCTATTTTCATTAAATGCCTACCACCCCCCCCCCCCCCCCCCCCCCCCCCAAAAAAAAAAAAACAAGTGCACACTGAAATGTCTCGCCTGCTTTACTAACCATTGATTTTATATTGAAAGTCTTAAAAGTTCAAGGTTTCTCTACAAGTATCACATAGACTTGTGATGTTACACTATTGTTTCAGGTAGGGTGAACGTTGGCGCCTATTAAAACGTTTAAACCCGCTGCATTTGTTTGCACCTGTCCTAAGTCAGGAACCTGATGTTCTGTGGTTTTCGTTTGTTGATGTGGTTCATAAGTGTTTCTCATTTTTTATATAGATTAGACCATTGGTTTTACACCAGTCATTTTCGGGGCAATTTATAGCTTGCTGTTCAGTGTGAGCCAAGGCTCCCTGTTGAAGGCCGTACTTTGACCTATAATGGTTAACTTTTGCAGATTGTGACTTGGATGGAGAGTTGTCTCATTGGCACTCTTACCACATCTTCTTATATCTATTAACATTTTAAAAGATCAATGACAATGAGGTCAAGGTCAGATAAATTGTGTGAGACAGACATGTACAACTTACAATATACCATACATTAAATATAGTTTTGCTTATGGTAATTGAAAATCAGATTAAACAGGTCAGATTTAGTGATATTGTTGTCTTTTTTCAAAACTTCCTCTACCGTTTTTTATTGGGAAAAATGCATACTTTTTATTGAAATTGGGAAATTTGTATATTTTATTCTAAACGCATTTCCAATTTTTTGCCGACCTTTGCAGTCTTTTTTGCACTGTTTTTTCATGTATAGGTACTTTTCGAAGAGGGGAAAGAAACAGAAGCAATGATGGTACTTAATGCATTGAAAACCACATGTGTTACAAACACCATGATGATTCTGATCAGAAAATCAGATCTCAAAAGTGCTTTCTAATATCAAAATAATAACATGAATACTATATTTACAATCATTACTACCAATGCCATCACTGTTTGGGGAAAATGTAAAACTTTTTGTGAGGAATTTTAAGCCATTTTTTTAGTAATTGGGAATTTTCTCTAGGGGAAAAAGCTGAATTTCGGCTGTTATTTGAGGCAAACAATATCACTGAGATTAAACATGACAGGTAGACATGTACACCTTGCAGTCATTCCATACACCAAAAATAGTTGACCTACTGCTTAAAGTATTTAAAAAACAAACCAAAACACAAAATCTTAACATTGACCAATGAACCATGAAAATGAGGTCAAAGTTAGATGAAACCTGCCAGACTGACATGTACCCCTTGCAATCATTCCATACACCAAATATAGTTGACCTACTGCTAATAGTATCTGAGAAACAGACCTAATAACGTACCGTCTTTTGGTGTGTATAGTATGCAGGTTTTTACCCTGTGATAGATTTCTGAAAAAGGGGTGTGTATTATGTATGGCTACACAGTATTTTAGAATTTTTTTCAGTTCCAAATTCCAACCAAGAAACCAGGTAGTCAGGAAGAAAATATTTTCGTAGCATTAACTTGATTGTTGTTATGTTTTAAATATATATTTTTATCTGATTTGTAATGTTATATGCAAATAAAAATCATTTAAATGCCTCAGTAGTTGTTTTTTTGCGTCTTCTTGTGTCTGTTCTTCGTGCCGCAGGGAATTCGCATTTGATCATGTCCAATTAGAGATAAAGGATTCTAACAATGGCCAAATTAGTGTCGGTGATTCTCAAGTTTATTACTTATTTTGTATATGTGTTCTTACATGAAATACAGAAGGTAAATGTATGAAAATTGAATGAAACACGCCCGTTTGATGATAGCGACTGCCATTGTTTTTTTACTTTCATGGTATCAGGTGATCACATGTCATGTGACTTTTAGTGTAAAGTTGAATAAATCAATGGTTTTTTACACGTTTTCACTTTAAGACATTTTAAAAACCTTCATACAATTAAATATCATAATTGCAGACATGTCAGTGCCCTCTTGTTAACTGTAGGAATTTGATTAAGGAACAAAATCATTCTGTCAATCAATTTTTTTTGACAACGATTAGACTTTGTAATTGATATTCAATAAGAGTGTGATAATCCGGATTAATCGATTCAATGAGTACCAACAAACAATAAATACAAATAGCAGAGATTGATATTTATTTCAGCACTAATTTAGTGACGACATCAAAAGTTCAATGTAGGATAAAAAACTTAATTCACATAGTATTTTCACTGACCCCACGGGGTACCCCCATCTTAACCTAATTTGGGAAAAATTGATTGACCAATATGGGCATATGCTTTCAGAGTATACTTTTTGTATCATGGGTCCTGTTTTTCCTCAACAATGTATGTTTGTTATGTATACATGGTATATTGACTTGGACATCACTTTTAAAAAATATTGGAAAAAAGTGATGTGTATTTTTAGTATGCATCAAAAAAGGCACTGTTAAATTATAATTTTATAAACACTACAGTCAGAATGGATTCTGCATTTTTCATCTGCCCTCTTTTGGCATGTATAAATAGTGGGTTTATGGTTTTGATTGTTTTTGTTTCTTTTCTCAAATGAATATAAAACAGTTCATTGTTACATATAAAATATATAGCTTTAAACTAAATAGTGGTCCATTGAAATGTATTGTGATGACAGGGCAGTGCATTTGTGCCAACTGTGGAGAGAGGGAAAAGCACAATCCCAAATGAATTTAGTGAATGTGATATGATCTATGTAATTTCTATTCAATGTCTGTTGACTACTGTCATATTTTTCTACTATCTCAAAAAATTCTATATAACTTTCAAATTTGTATTTGAATTTGTATTTCCGTTTTCATTTTAATAATTAAATAATTAACACAATTCAAAGAAAATTTTATAGTTTGTTTTTAGAATACCACCATGCCGTGTGGACCAAAACAATTTGTGTTGATCGGTATACAAGCTTTCCGGTACGATTTGATGGCATTCATTTGGTTTAAAAGTCCAGACATATGTTAGGGCCAAACTTGAATCCGTATTTTTCAATCTGAAAATCAATGTCCGATAACAAAACTTGCAGCGATTCCCCCCCCCCCCCCCCCCCCCCTCTATTATTTTATTATTCAGAATATGAGTAATAATTCTGTAATCCGTAAAAGACTCACCGACTGCACTGATAAATGAAATGCGGTTGAGATAGGTGAACCCTGTCTGACAGACATGTAGACCTTGCAAGGAACCCATATACCAAATATAGTTATTCTATTACTCATTATAAATGAGAAATTCACATGACAAAAAAGAAAAAAAACTTTCAAGTAGTCACTGAACCATGAATATGCGGTCAAGGACAGTGGATATATGACAGACATAACATAAGGTATCTTTTTACAATGTATGAAGCATCCATGTCTTTAACATTCTGAAATATATAGCTTTAATCAAATAGCATAGGCTGCTGCAGCCTAATAGTAATCCATGTCTCGCATACTGTGGCTTTCCTTGCAGTTGAGAAATAAAATCTATATATAAATACAATGAAATATATTAATTAAAAAAACAAACAAAGTGGTATAGAAAAAAAATACAGGTTTTTTTCAACTACAATCTAATCAAATTACAGGTACCATGTCCACACTTTGTTTACAAGGGTCTGACAATGCTAACTTCTAATTTCTGATTCAGAGACCTTTCAGAATGCTCTGGTTTTGTCATAATAAGACACACCTTCAAAAATTTTATTACTGAAAATACATTGCATGATGTCATAATTACCAGTTTTTAGATCCTTGTAAGCAAAGTGTGGACACAGGATCTGTAATTCTATAAGATTGTTTCAATTACTAGCACCAGGTTGATACCACTGCTGCTGGACTGAGTGCATCATCAGCTCATAAGTCAGTACCTTCATACTAATATGATTTATAACATACTTTTCTTAAATTCTCTGTTGCTTGATTTATAATTTTTTATGAAACTTATTTGTTAAAACCATGAAACAAAGTTGATCTTAGATGAATTAGGTTATACTGGTTATACTTAGTAGGTCTCTTTAGGTCATATAACACCCTTTTTAAATTTATAGGTATTTACACATCATTGGCTTTCAAATGTTTAAGCTTGTGTTTGAGCATTCCTATTGAAGGTAAACCAAGAAAAGTGCTTGACCTTTTCAATTTCTGAACAAATCTGTGCATTTGTTACTTTTGTAATATCTTTCTACACTGCATACCTTAAAATCTTCCATTATTTTTAATTGTTTAGCTGCCGATTTAAATTCTTCTTTTGAGGAATACTGAACTCGTAATGCAGGAAGAGTCCTCTTCCTCAATGTTATCACATCTGTCACAGAAGCTAACGGTGTTTCATACACCATTTTGTGGAATGTTGGATCATAATTTTCCTGTAAAAATATTAATATTGTTAAAGGTTTTGAAAATCCTAGTCAATTAAGATTGGAGACAGTGCACCTGCAACATACCAGATTCAAGTCAATTAAGATTGGAGACAGTGCACCTGCCACATACCAGATTCAAGTCAATTAAGATTGGAGACAGTGCACCTGCCACATACCAGATTCAAGTCAATTAAGATTGGAGACAGTGCACCTGCCACATACCAGATTCAAACACACAACCTCAGTGTTGACAGGCTAGTTATATAGTAGTTCTAATACTTAGACCTCAGATCATTGAGGCCCCTTGTCTATATTGTTAAAGGCTATTCCATTCAAATGAATATTGTTTTTTTTTTATTTTTGTACATAGGTTGACCATTATGGAATATGTTTCACAGATCTAGATGACAACGGATATTTTCAATTGTCGGCCAGGGTTCTTGGTCATAAAACTCTACTCTGTAGTCAAAGTCCAAAACTTGTTCTTGTTACACCAAATCCATTCTTTTGATTTTTGTTTGTGACCAGATGTTAGGTTTCCTTGAGTCTTCTAAACAGGATAGAAAGTCCAGATAGTCAAGAACCTTAATTTTTTACATACTTAGAATTAATTACTATTCATTAGATACCAATTTTCTAGATTATGTGGGTATTAGAAAACCAGGAATTCAACTGTTCAACAAAGAACAAATTTTCTATAATCTTTTATTCCGCTAACTTTGGCAAAACCACAAAATCAAATATCCACCCAAGTACAAGTTTTCCTCAATTTAAGAAAATTGGTAACCATGGAAATAAATGAATCCATAGTACACACAATCACTCCCTTATTCTCTACAATCTACAAATGTTATGGTAATGTTGAAAATGCAAAACATCTATCTTAGATTACTGCAAAATTCAGTTGAATCTGATGTCACATAGACAACACAGTATCAGGTCATGAATTTCCAAGAAAATGGGGTCTCAATGGCAGAGTGGTTTAAGTAGTTCATTGAAAGCAATCACTAGTCTGTCAACACTGAGGTTGTGTGTTCAAATGACTATGTTCTTATTTGACCAGGGTTGTCAGTTTTCTTGCAGATGGTTGGTGGTTCTCTCAGGGAACTAAGGCTTCCTCAAAGAAAGAAGGTTGACAAGTCATATATTCAATGCCAACAAAATTTAACAATTCTCATGTGTTATATTTCCATGATTTACAAGTGTGTTAAATCAATGTGAAAAGTCACATGTGTTAAATTTATGAAAAAATGTGTTATCAATTCAATTTCAAGTCATTTATGTTAGGTAAATTTCAATTAAAATTTAAAGCAAATCTGATATTGACCATAAGCTGAATTTGATTGAGCAACAGGCAAAACCAATGTCATATATACACTGTGCGTATTGCTGTGTATTAATTGTTCCATATTGGCTAGAGGTTTAGGGGAGGGTTGAGATCTCACAAAAATATGTTTTTTTGCGCCTGTTCCAAGTTAAGTACTTCTAGAATTTGTTAGTCTTGTGTGTTTTTTTAAAATTTTGGTTCATTTGTATGTTTCAGAGTATAATGTTGCGTCCATTTTGCTGAATATAGTATACATTATTGTTTAGGGGCCAGCTATAGCCAGCCTCTTGGTGGGGAATTTCTCGCTGCGTTGAAGACCAATTGGTGGTCTTTGGCTGTGTTCTGCTCTTTGGTTGGGTTATTGTCTTTTTGACACATTCCCTGTTTCCATTCTCTATTCTATATGAAAATATTTCATAATTCATTATATGTAAGAGATATACAGTTTGTAACAAATTTTACATGAAGACAACCTTTATTAATCATACTTACTTTTATTAAATATGTTAAATCTTTCTTTGTAAAGTCTATTGGCTTCTCATTAAGTTTGATGAATTTTAAATGTTTGTCATAAAATAATCCCCTGAAAGCAAAACAAAAAGTAATAAGGATTAAAATACTGAAGCGGTAGATAAAGGGACATAATTCTTACTCATTTATCAAATTATCTCCCTTTACCAAGTTGGTATAGTAAGATAAGGTACATAACTCTCATAAATCACTGGTATATTTGTGTCAACCAATTAAATAACATATATTATAAGCTTATCTAAATTCTGTATCAAATGAAAATGCATTAATAAATCCCAATATAAAAATAAGGTGATGTGGTATGATTGCCAACGAGACAACTATTCACCAAAGTTCAAATGAAGTTGATGTTAGAAATTATAGGCAACTATACGGCCTTCAACAATGAGAATAAACAGCTGCGCCATGAGCGCATGATAAGCCCGTCGTCTTGTGTGTGAATTTTTATGCAATAAGCATAAATAGTTTCTGACATACGGTGTGACATGCGAAAACCCCCCTTTTTTTTTACAAAAAACTCAATATCTCTAAAATAAAATTTTGAATCAAAACCAAAAAGTACAGATCTTTAGATTAATATAACTAAGAAGTGTGTAAAATTTTAAGCAATAATCATAAATTGTTTTTGAGATACGGCGCGACATGTCAAAAAAAACACACACCTGTTTTAGTTACCAAGTCCCGTAACTCAAAAAGTTTTAATCTTATTTTCACCAAAAAGTATACAGATCGTTTGACCATCATAAGAAACAACTATGTTAAGTTTCATGAAATTTGGATTAGTCATTCTCAAGTTACGGTGCAACATGTTTTACGCCGGACAGACAGACGAACAGACAGACGGACAGACAGACGGATGGACGCCTCACATTTGTATACCATAATACGTCCCATCAAAAATTTGACGGGAGTATACAAACCCATACCGTATCGTCAGCTATTAAAGGCCAGACATGAAAAATATGAAACAATTCATTTCTTATTCAACTAATTACCTCTCTTTACCAAGTCTTTACCCTTAATTAGATATTCAAAGGGCAATAACTCATTTAAAAGTTATTGATAATGTTGGTGAAAATAGAAGTATGTAGATCTTGACATTCTGAGCATTTTTGCTCAATCAGATCCTGTCTATGTTTTCAAGATACAAGAAAATTATTGCATTTTACAATTATGTTCTATTTTTAGCCATATGGCAGCAAATTTAATAGGGAAAAAACAACAAACTTTATACTAGGCACCCTAAGAATCATTCACCCCAAATTTGGTTGAAAATGTTTTGGTAGTTTCCAAGGAGAAGATCTTTGAAAAAGTTTACAACAACAACGACAGACACAACCATGGATGCCAAATGAAAAAATTCAGGACATCCTGTAATTTCATGAAATCTTCTTTGTCTGGTTCAACCTTTAAGATTCTGTGTAATGTGTGTCCAACAACAAGGAAACCCCTGTTTTGATAGTGTTGTGTCTGGTGATTTCGTGCATACTTTCTTAAAATAGATAATTTTGAATAAAGGACAGGATTTATCCTACGAAATATTGTTCAGTCTGAATCAAACAGACTGCAAAGAATGCGGAGCAAAATTATTTCATTTTGATAAAGGAGAAGGTCAGGTAAGAGATTATTTTGGCCTAAAATTTGAAGTACATCTGATGACATTTTTTTGACATTTTTTAAATACTTAAGTGTCTACTTCGATTCAATTAGTTTATGTTAAAGATTTAAACTGATTTGGTCATCAAAGATACTCAAATTCAAGCTCAAATATGAAAAATCTATCAAATATGCCATAAAATGTCACTGTTCAGATGGTTTTTGTCTAAAATGTAAATGGCCACATATGTGTTCAGTCTCAACCTTTATACATGTTATGTATTATCATCCGACGTAACATATATTTAAATATGAAGACTCAACACAAGTGCAGCCACTTCCATTTAAGACAAACAGCGTCTAGAAATTAGCACAAATGCTAAAATTGTGAAGATTTCAGTAATTTTGCATGAATTAATGATGCTAGTATATAATGCATGTACATTGCATTGTCAAAAACAGCCCATATTTATGTAACAAAAGTATTCTTCTTTCCAATAAATAGATACAAGTTTATAACCTTTTGACAAATTTGAAAAAATGCTATATTTTGGGGCCAAAAAGGGATCTTACCGGTGTCATATGGTATTTTGAACCCCTTGGAAAATTGACCCCGGGTCAAAATACCGCTGTGGTAAATAAATACATACCAACTACTTATTGGAGTATTTTTACTACGTAAAAGAGTTAGAATAGCTCTATTTTTTTAAATTGAAGGTGTATAGGAGGGAGTTCAATATACCATGGCAGGGGGGTCAAAATACCATGGCTAAGTAAAATTTTCCAAACATCTTTATAAACATGTTTAATACATACAAGCTACTTTTTGGAGTATTATTACTATGTAAAGGAGTTAGAATAGTACTCCAATAAATAGTTGGTATGTATTGAACATGCTTATAAAGATGTTTGAAAAATCTTACTTAGCCATGGTATTTTGCCCCCTTGCCATGGTATATTGAACTCCCTCCTATACATCTCGAATTTAAAAAATTATAGCTTTTCTAACTCCTTTACAAAGTTATAATACCGTATAGCGGGTTATTTTCGCGGGGCGTTTATTTTCGCTTATTTTGGCGGATAAATGAAAATTGTGAAAATAAATTCTGCAAAAATTTATGCATACGTTCGGTACTTTCTAATAGCTAAAGCGTTTTGTAAACGATCTATTTTCCGGTCGGCAGGTCAATAACAGTATAGGTTAGTTTTAACAACATAAATGCCAAAGGGCATTGTACATACATATATTTTATAAAATGACTGTCAGGTGTGTATCCCCTTATCAATTAGTGTCAAATAGATTAAGAGTGTAAGGTACTCTATCAGGTAACTACCCTTATTAATTAGTGTCAAATTACACTCTTGATATTTTTATTACCTAATTAGTTAGTACAACAAAGGTCAGGTCAATTTTGTAACTAATCAACCGTAAAATTTAAAGAAGTGTGTATACCTGTGACAAATATCTTAGTTACCAGTATTCTATTGATTAACTGTATCAGAATATAATCAATAAATAAGACGTCATTCTAGTAAAAAAAATCAATTAACCATAACAATAGACACTTGCTTCTGAATTTTTACAACTTTTTATCTGCAACAATTTCAGTATCAGCCAAATTATTTAATTGGGAATTAAGAATCCACCAAAATAAAAACCGCCAAAATTTTTCGTATACTTTGTTGCCACTGAATCGCAAAATTTTACACCCGCCAAAATAACCCTCTATACGTTACTCCATATTAAACATGCTTATAAAGATGTTTGGAAATTTTACTTAGCCATGGTATTTTGACCCCCGTGCCATGGTATATTGAAACCCCTACTATACACCTTCAACTACTTATTAGAGTACTATTCTACTTCTTTACATAGTAATAATACTCCAATAAGTAGTTGGTATGTACTAAACCTGCTGAAAAAGATGTTTGGAAAATTTTACCTAGCCATGGTATTTTGACCCCGCTCCCATAATATATTGAATCCCCTACTATGCACCTCCAATTTAAAAAATTATAGCTATTAACTCCTTTACATGGTAATAATACTCCAATAATTAGTTGGTATGTATTAAACTGGCTTATAAAAATGTTTGGAAAATTTTACTTAGCCATGGTGTTTTGACCCCACTGTCATGGTATATTGAACCCCCTACTTTACACCTCTAATATCAAAAATTGAAAATATTTTAACTCCTTTAAATAGTAATAATACTCCAATAAGCAGTTGGTATACATGTATTAAACATGCTGAAAAAGATGTTTAGAAAATTTTACTTAGCCATGGTATTTTGACCCCCCTGCCATGGTATATATTGAACTCCCTCCTATACACCTTCAATTTCAAAAAAATCATAGCCAACATATTGTACAAAAGATAATCTGCAATACTTTTTATCTAAAACCGGGGGGTTCAATTTTCCATGGTGGGGTTCAAAGTACCATATGGGAAAAATGACCCTGGGGTCAATATTCCATATGGTATTTTGACCCCGGGTTCACTTTTCAGGGGGTTCAAAATACCATATGACACCGGGCCTACTACTTTGACTTAAAATGAAACCAATTTTATCTGACGATGTAAATTTTTTTTTATGGAAAATGGCTTAATACGGTTAATCATGGGATTGAAATTAGATTAGAAATTAGATTGGGATTGATTTAAAACTATATTTGAACTTATCAATTTTAATCTTTTCTGTCCATTCAAAAGACTAAAACAATTACAAGAAAGAATTATCTGTTACATTGCGGATATGACGAAATCAGGTAATGCACGATATCACCAGCTAAGTGGACAAAAGGGACTCCACTATAAGCATTATATTTGTCAATATTTTACACCATTCTTCAGCTTTGTATAAAGATGCTTACAAATATAATACCTATCATGTTAACATTATCATATAGCACGACGACATGAAAGCATTAATTCTTAAATATTACACTAGTATTGATTTTGAAATGAATAGGTCTAAAAAGACTGAACAATAAATTTAATGAGCTCACTCATGCATGTCCATTCACTTATTCATTTGGAGAGTTTTTTTGTGTGTTAAATATTATGTTTATTACAACTGAGTCATCTTTCCTAGACATGAGAAGGACACTGGGTGCTCATCCTGGGGAAACTTTTCGTGATATTTCCAAGAATTGAAAACCTGAACATAATGGCAGTTTAAAAATTTCTTAAGCAAGTACAAAATTAGAACAAATGTTTTTTTCCTTTCTTTTTGACATAAATGACCAATGTCCAAAATCTTCCTTACCACATGTATTTTAATGGAATAATCTTTAGTATTTTGAACTTAAGAAGTGTGTACATTTTCTTTTTTACAAAGATACCGTGTAAAGGTCAACTCCACACAAATTCATACATACTTGCTAACCCCCTTTTTACCAAAGGTACTTGTCCTACAGATCTCTGGTCGAATACAAACTCTATTTTTTCTTTGGTCGGGATGTCTCATCCAGTCATCCCAAAATCTGTAATCAAAAAATGAAAAACTGTACTATAAATCAATTGCTATGTCAGTAAATTTTCTATGCTAAAAAAGACCAATAATTATAAACAGTCAGAGGCATTACTTAAACAAGTAACTTTTAAAATTACAAGTAATGTTGAAAACTAGGCTATTTTAAGTATTACTTATATAAGTAACTTTTGTAAATATTATTTTCATAGGTGTCCATTCATAGAGATTTTATTAGCTCTAACAAATTTTCACAGTCATCTGGTTATTTTTCCCATGAAATACAAAAATTAATTATCCTGAAACACAAATTGCCTTTCTGATGCACTTATGCACTTATCTTTCATATCGACACTTCTGGGTCAAAGATTGGTCTCTTTGGACTATAAAAATATCAGTTTCCTTGAAAATCTTGAAGGTAGACAGATATAAATAGATAGAAACTTGTGATTTAATTAAGACTTGAAGTTATTTATAATATGTAACCCAAAACAATTACATATGTTCCTTAAATAATTTTTGTTACTAATTCTTTCAAAGATGTATAAAATAACTTATTCAAGTAATATTTTTGTCATTATTTTTTAAAGTAACATTTATCTCTATCATGTCTATCAAGCTCTCAAATTTAATAAGTCCATGCTTTTATTGAAATATAAAATAACTTTATTGAGTAATTTTATAATTTTTAAAAACAAAAATTACCTATATAAGTAACTAAAAAAAAAAAAATGTTTAAGTAACGCCCCTGACTGATAAAGAAGAGATAGTTTTCATAACAATAAACTGTTAACACAGAGATATGTCTCGCCTATTTGTTATTTTGATAATGCAAATGTTGAAATTAAAATAGCAATACTTTAACATGTAAGTTATGCAAATATTCAAAGTCAATAACCATGACTGAAGGTACAGGGCTAAACAACCTCCATGGAAATGAGATGTGCCAATTTTAATACAACTGCAAATCAAATACCATTGTCTTTTCGTAAGTCGTTCCCTTTAAACAAACCTAAACACAAACATTAACTTGTAAACTATGTAAAAGTTTCAAAGTCAATGAACCATAATTAGTGGGTGGGGTTATATAATCTCCATGGAAATGAAACTTGCAAATGCCAATACATTTGCATACCAAATATCATCGACTTTACATTAGTGGTTCATCTTAAACTGACCTAATCACAAACTAATACATGTAAACTAAGCAAAGTTTCAAAGTCAATAGACCTTGACTGAGGGGGCGTGGCCAAATAATCTCCATGGTAATGAGATGTGCCAATGCTAATAAAACTGCATACCAAATATCATTGACCTACCACTAGTGGTTCACCATGAACTAGACCTAATCACAAACTAATACATTGTTGACACCGCCGCCACCACCTGAAACAGCATACCTATGTCTCGCTTTTTGACTCCGTTAAGGCGAGACAAAAACTAGTAAAACCTAGAGAGTAAACAAATACCCGGTCTATCAAAATTCACTGAGCCATCAAGAAGTAGATTTTTTGCTTTCATAACCTATAAATTAAAGAACCTTTGTGAGCAGGCTTACATACCCCATGCCCCCACATTGTCACTGGGCAAACAAAATCTCATCAGATTCCTATATGTTAAAAGACTCACAACCCCTACATTAGTCAACTGATAAAAAATTCTTGTAGATATGCACATCTACATAGTATGTCCTTATCATCTGCAAAGTTTCATGAAATTCTGTTGTGCTGATTTAAAGGAGTTGAGTTGACAATCTGAGTTCAAAGGGGCATAACTCCTAGAAAAAAAGTTGAATCATAATTTGCTGTAGACATGCACATCTACAAAGTATGTTCTTATCATCTATCAAGTTTCAAGGACTGACAAGAGATTACACCTTAAGTAATTTTGTTCCCTGGGGTACAATAATAACATACTATATACGATAACCCATTTGTTTTCAATATAAATTCTGAATAACTTGAATTTGTTAAGCATAAAACATTGAAATTTCAACATAATTCATATTTTCAAGTGGCATAACTCCATTTTAAAAAACTGTCACCAAAATAATATAATTTTCTTGAAGGTGGTTATTTCAATTTTGTGACGACCTGCTTAAAAGAAAATCTGGCAAAACACAAAAATTGGACTGGCAATCTCAATGGGAACAAACTGGTTTAACATCATCAATACTGCTTTTAATCCATAAACTTTGCGTTTATGTTGTGCTGCTACACCAGTGTCCCAGGTTCAGCGTAGTAATGAGGGTCCACAAACATGTTTGACCCTAACATATTCTTTATTCATCATTCCCTAGTCTAACGATTGGGATTCAGCTTCTGTCCTTAGTTGCAGTCTGTCAATTTTTTTGTTTTTTTTTTGTTTTAGTATATATCAGGATGTTGGTATTCTCATTTGAATTGTTTCAGATTGTGTCATGTCAAGGTCTTTTAAGGTTTCCTATACAGTACTGGTTTTTACATTGTTAAGACTGTACTCAAACTTATAGTTGCTTACAACTACATTCTTTTTCCTTTTGTGGATACTTGTCTCATTGGCAATCATACCACATCTCCTTATTTTCATACTTACAAAATGTATGTAGATCTATTGTCTTTTTATGAGGATTGCATTTTAGCTTTTTTCAGAGTGAATTCCAATATCAATATAAATTTCCCTCCAATCAGATCATAATTTGATAATACTTACGAATCTGGCCATTTTGGACTAAGTTCAAGCCAGACATGTTTTTCCAACATCCATCCTAAACCAGGAAAAAAGTCTGATCTGTATAGTAATTCTGAAACAAAAGTCTGATCTGTATACAGTAATACTGAAACAAAAGTCTGATCTGTATACAGTAATACTGAAACAAAAGTCTGATCTGTATAGTTATTCTGAAACAAAAGTCTGATCTGTATAGTTATTCTGAAACAAAAGTCTGATCTGTATAGTTATTCTGAAACAAAAGTCTGATCTGTATAGTAATTCTGAAACAAAAGTCTGATCTGTTTAGTAATTTTGAAACAAAAGTCTGATCTGTATAGTAATTCTGAAACAAAAGTCAGACTTGAGAACATGTTATTTTTGTTGTACTATCAGCTTTCTAAAGCAAGCAATACATGTATATATAGTGAAGGACAAGTCTGATCTCCTTAAGTATCCATAACTGCTCTTGAACAGTTTGCTAAAATTTTGACAAACTTTCACACACTATTTGTTTTTTTACAACCACTAGATCATTGCCACTGCTGGTGGAGGTTTCACAAACCCAGAATTTTCAGTCCTAAATGCTCTTCAACGTTGTACTTTATTTGGACTTTTTAACTTTTATGAATCAAGTGTCATCGATGAGTCTTTTGTAGACTAAAGGCAAGTCTGGTGTAACAAATTTTTTTTCGAAATACTAAGGATTTTCTACCCCAGGAAAAGATTACCTTAGCTGTACTTAGCAAAACCTTTCAGAATGTTAGGTCCTTAATTGTCTTCAACTTCTTACTTTATTTGGCCTTTTTAACTTTTTTGATTCTAGTGTCGATGATGCAACTTTTATAGACATGATAGATGAAACGTAAGGTTTCCTGCCTGAGGGTATCACCAGACCATAAGTCAGTGCTTCGAATTCTATGTTGACATGAATCATCATTGATATGGTCATAATTATCTATGATGAGTTTATTTACCTGGTTCATCAGATACCATACCACTTTTACTGTTATTATTTCAGGCTGATAAACACCATAGAGTAGGGTCTGATTTCAGTATTCGGTAGGTAGCAGAAACTTACCTGGATCATCAGATACCATACCACTTTTACCGTTATCATTCCAGGCTGACACACACCATAGAGTAGGGTCTGCCTTCAGTATTTGGTAGGTGGCAGAAAAATATTCAAAGAAATCAGGTGAATACTCCAGATCATCTGAAATATAAACCATAAAATGGTATAGCTTAATAAAATTTCCCAACGAATGCAATGAAAAGTTACAGTACAATGTTCTCTGATATTGCACTAGTGCAAAATTTATATATATGTAGTGACAAAAAAATGTTTCGAAAAGGACCTACTGAGGATTCTTTTATTTTCCTGGATACCAATTTTTCGTGGATTGAGAGAAATTTTGTTTTCATAGATATAAGAAGATGTGGTATGAGTGCCAATGAGACAACTCTCAATCCAAGTCACAATTTGTAAAAGTAAACCATTAAAGGTCAAAGTATGGCCTTCAACACAAAATTTATACTTCATTGAACATGTAAATTCATGGTTCACATTTGCCATCAAAATCCAAGAAAAATTGGTTTCCCAACATGAATCTACAGTAATCACAGAAGATATTAGTAGGTGTGGATGACAACAATGTTTGTTAACTATCCACCATTGCAGGATATAATGCATTTTAGGTAATATTTTCAAAAGATGTCCAAAACAATGGAAAAAAAGCCCATGACATGAAGAATTTGTAATTTTGGGGTAAAAACAATGAAATAAGCCATAGTCCTCTAAGGGATGTTCCATTAAAACATACATGGTACCCAGGGAAGGTACTTTAAAAATGGGGTAACCACCTATAGAGGCAAATTCACTTACATTTCCACTAATGCAAAAACATAGATGACACCCACCCATAGTTGAGATTTGAAAGTGCCTTCCCTGGGTCCAAACCGACCTATGTATGTTTTTATGGAACAGCCCTAAATTCTGAAATGGTGAATTGTATAAAAACCCCAAATCACATTCAATCTTCGTAATGAATGTGTATTCATTCTACATATAATATATATATATCATCACCAACGCAATCATAGGGTTGAACGTTGTTTTCAATTTAGACTTCTTTATATATATATATATATATATATATAGCTATCTGAGAAATATCTTAATAATTTTAACAGGTAAGCCATCAGTTCAAAAGTAAATATTGTTATTAAATGATGATTTTGAATTTCCTGCCTTTATTGAATAAGAAGATTCAATACCATTGCCAGTGATCATGAGACAACTATTCTCAGAAAATGACATAGATGTTAGCTACTATATATCACTGTAAGGCCTTCATCAATAAGCAAAATCTGTATAGCAAAATAAATCACAAACATGACAAAATGAAATTCAACAGCCTGAGTGTGTACAAAACAACAAATGAAGAACATATATGATATACAGCTCCTGATTTGGGAAAGGCACTTCCGATTTCTCTTAAACTGAGTTTTACTGTGCGTATTGTGTGTGTTGGTTTATTCCACATTAGCTAGAGGTATAGGGGGAGGGTTAACATCTCACAAAACATGTTTAACCCTGCCGCATTTTTGTGCGGGTCCCAAGTCAAGATCTAGAACCTCTAGCCTTTGTTAGTCTTTTGTGTTTTTATAATTTTGGTTCATTTATATGGTTCTGAATTAAGTGTGCTGTCCATTTTGCTAAACTAGTAAATATTATTGTTTAGGGGACAGCTGAAGCCATCTCCAGGTGAAGGATTATCTGGCTGGGTTGAAGACCCTTTTTTGGCATCAGCTGTTTTCAGCTATTTGGTCAGGTTGATGTCTCTTTGACACATTCCCTATTTCCATTCTCAATTCTACATACAAAATGTGGCAGTGTTAAACATTGTTTGTGGGTACCCAACCCTCCACCAAACCTGGGACAGTGGTGTTTGTGGCGAGATCTGAGTTACAATTTAGTGAAAGTACAAATTACAACTTAAGAAATAATTCTATCATGCCATGCTCTATGCTCATTTTAACATGGGAAGGCACTATATTTGTCAACCATCTTTATACCGACTGTTAGCCAGGTGTAAATTGTTGACAAAGATAGTATAGTTCTCTGGTGTTGTTCAAAATTCAACCAACATTGCAATTTCAATTGTGACATCAGTCACTTGAAGCCCATGTTCATATACATGTATTGGAATTAGAACAAAGCGAAAGAATAACGTTTTATTAGAATTTCTATTAATGCTAGTGGTCAGATCAAGAAGCTCAGCTTTTTCAAGTTGTTTGAAGACAGATGATTTATGTTGTAATTAAACAATAAATATGACACTGTTCCGACAATATTGTTAGTAAATGATACAAATTTTAATTGAAAAAACTAATTTGCATTCTATAATTTCGAGACATCCCATATAAAAATAAGGACATGTGGTATGAGTGCCAATGAGACAACTATCCACCAATTTCAAATGAAGTGGATGTAAGCAATTATAAGCAATGCCTTCAACAATGAGAAAAACCCAGACAGTATGGTCGGCTACAAAAGGCCCAGGCAGACATGAAAAATGTGAAACAATTCAATTGAAAAAAATTTGTAAGGGGTTCCATGGAACCCTGTGTTTTGCCTGTGATTGCTGCTGTCAGTATAAAAGTGTAATGTTGACATAAAAAGTGAGTCAATTCATCATGTTTATCAGCAGATTTTTTTTTATAAAATTCAAACTTTTCTTTAGATGCTATTTCTAGGTCTTGAAGATCAGTTTCTGTCTAAGTTTCATAACAATCCATGAAGGTTTACAAATCTATCATGTCAAAAAAGTTTAATCCCAGACTGTCTGTAAATGTTAACTGTAAAAAACTAAGTCCATCTATCAGAAAAATACTGAAAATGAAAAAAATATATTTTCAAATTTTTGCTTTAGACATTATCTCTTAATCATAATATAAATAATTGCTTCGCCAAGCGCAGCTGGATACGACCGCAGAAGTCCAACCCTGAACAGTTGGGGCAAAAATGGACACAATATTCGCGCTTGATACAGGTCTGAATTTGGATTGTAATTAAATATTTGACACATAATAGGTTTCTGACACAGAATAACTGTAGTCAAAGAACTTAGAACTTGTTATATGATTTGAATTTATATTCAATTTCTTGCTTTTGTGCAATACACTGTGCTGTTGCGCAATACTTTGTAAATCTGTTTTCAGACGACATACAAAGAATTAGCAATTGTGACACACAATTTTTCTTTGGAAAATTGACAATGTTTTAAATCTTGAAGAAAAATTGACCCCCCAAAAAAAATTAATTTGTTTACCCCCCTTTTTTGTCAAAAAAAAAAATTGACGAAATATTCTTTTAAATTTCTGAAATCTTGATAAAAAATTGTCCCCATCCCCCTCCAATTTTTTTTTACCCCACCCTCCCAAATTTAATTTTTTTAACCCCCCCCCCATTTTTCCAAAAAAAAACTTTCCCTCAAGATATGGTCATAATCTTAATTCAAATTTCCAATGGAGTTTGCAACCATAAAAACCCATTTAAATACATCATAAGAGTATTGAAATAGAAAATGACATGCATAATCATGGCTAAAATTAATATACCTTCATCAGCATTTAATAGTAACTTCTAAAAATAAATTGACAGCTAATCACCTCAAGACAATACAACATTTCTTTATAACAAAACCATTGTAAGGGAGGTAACTCTTAATGCTAAAAAAAACCCCAAACAAATGATATTGATCACAAATAAACAATTCTGAATATGAAAATTTATTACCACTGAACCCTTTGGTATACACTATTATTATATTATATATACTTCCACCACAGTATTTGAAATTTCTAGAAACAGCTAAAAAATAATTCATACTAGAACTAGCTGACAACTTAACATAATTTAAAAGCAATGTAAGGGAGGTAATTCAAATATAACATTGTCATTATTATCTTTTAAATTTTATTTAATGTTTATCAAATCCAAATTTTATAGCCTTAGGACCAAAATTTGGACCAATTAGAAAATGGGCCTAACAACCAAATACACAGTTAGATTCAGCATATGAAAAAAAATGTTATACTAATAGCAAAAAGTCCCAACATAAAGAATCAAAGCTTTCTCAAAATCAAAATCCCAAAATATTGTTCTCTTCTATATACTGTAAATTATCACGAATCAATTAAACGCTATCCCTTATATAATGCTTAATGGTCCAATATCTATTTCAAAGAGATCCAAAAACAAATACTTAGGTAATTGTCCATTAATCAGGAAACCCTTGTTTTTCCCCCCTTTTTTGCCCCTAATTCCTTAACAGTTTGAGCCATAACCCCCCAAAGCCAATCATAACCATCCCTTTGTGATATGGAAACTTGTGGTATAAATTCAGAGAGATCCATACACTGTTCCACAAGTTATTGTCTGGAAACTAGAAAAAGCTTCTGCCAAAGTTTAAAAAAATTCTATAAAGTTTTGACAAAGTTATTAATTACTAAAAAACTTTAACCTCAGACTGTATCTATTTAATTTGTTAACTGTAAAAAAAAACTAAGTCCATTTATCAGTAAAATATGATAAAATGAAAATAAATATTTAAAAAATTTTGCTGGATACTGTCTCCTGGTCATAAAAAAGCTTCTGTCAAAAATTCCTATAACTAATATTCAATGAAGGTTTGACAAAGTAATTGATGACTGAAAAAATTTAACCTCAGACTACATCTGAATGTTACCTGTAAAAAAACTATTTAAAGTCAATTTATCAGTAATATACAGAAAAATGAAAATAAATATTTCAAAATTTTGCTCTGGATACTGTATCTTGGTCATAAACAAGCTTCTGTCTAAATTTCCTAAAATTCCATGAAGGTTTGACAAAGTTAATGATGTCTAAAAAAACTTTAACCACACACTGAACCAAAATGTTGACCTTTAAATGTCTTGTTATTTTGTGTTGTTGTGTTTCTGTTTCACTGAAGCATTGACAACATCTTCTTCTATTCTTTACAGAACAGAGAATAATGGCTAAAAAAACAATGAATAGATATAGAGAAAAATTAGCAGAAATATAAAGAATGGAGAATAAAGGGGTTCAAAAGTATAAAGAATGGAGAATAAAGGGGTTCAAAAGTATACAGAATGGAGAATAAAGGGGTTCAAAAGTATACAGAATGGAGAATAAAGGGGTTCAAAAGTATACAGAATGGAGAATAAAGGGGTTCAAAAGTATACAGAATGGAGAATAAAGGGGTTCAAAAGTATAAAGAATGGAGAATAAAGGGGTTCAAAAGTATACAGAATGGAGAATAAAGGGGTTCAAAAGTATACAGAATGGAGAATAAAAGGGTTCAAAAGTATACAGAATGGAGAATAAAGGGGTTCAAAAGTATACAGAATGGAGAATAAAGGGGTTCAAAAGTATACAGAATGGAGAATAAAGGGGTTCAAAAGTATAAAGAATGGAGAAAAAAGGGGTTCAAAAGATAAAGGGGTTCAAAAGTATACAGAATGGAGAATAAAGGGGTTCAAAAGTATAAAGAATGGAGAATAAAGGGGTTCAAAAGTATACAGAATGGAGAATAAAGGGGTTCAAAAGTATACAGAATGGAGAATAAAGGGGTTCAAAAGTATACAGAATGGAGAATAAAGGGGTTCAAAAGTATACAGAATGGAGAATAAAGGGGTTCAAAAGTATACAGAATGGAGAATAAAGGGGTTCAAAAGTATAATGAATGGAGAATAAAGGGGTTCAAAAGTATACAGAATGGAGAATAAAGGGGTTCAAAAGTATAAAGAATGGAGAATAAAGGGGTTCAAAAGATAAAGGGGTTCAAAAGTATACAGAATGGAGAATAAAGGGGTTCAAAAGTATAAAGAATGGAGAATAAAGGGGTTCAAAAGTATACAGAATGGAGAATAAAGGGGTTCAAAAGTATACAGAATGGAGAATAAAGGGGTTCAAAAGTATACAGAATGGAGAATAAAGGGGTTCAAAAGTATAAAGAATGGAGAATAAAGGGGTTCAAAAGTATACAGAATAAACTGTGTAAAATAACAGTACAACAATGCTGATTACAGAAATGAACGATGTACAAAATAAAGAAATCACCACGTAACAAGAAATTTAATAGTACAATCATTTTCATGAGAATTTTACAGAATAAGCATTATTTTTTTAGATAAGGACCCCTCTCCCATCAACACTCTCAGACATAAGACACTGTCAAAATAACTTTAGCTATGCACTTTATCTACAAATGTTTGGGAAAATTCATATGCTACCAAGCTGAAATAAATCTGTAGTCTAAGACAAAAAAGCCAGAAAGATGATGTGAAAGGAAAGACAACTCTAGATTATAAATTGAAAGTATAAGAATTTCTAGCATTGTTAGTTTACCTTCTACAATTATAACTGCCGTATAATTAAAAGTGAAGAAAATTTGATCAAGTGCCCATTTATAATGGCGGGCAATTTTGAAGTAGCCTTTGAACTTCTTCTGTGGCCAAGCAAGTTTTATATCACTAAGGTCGGGTTGCTGGAAAAAAATACATAATAACTAAATTAAGAGGTCACCAATGGATGGACATACAAAAAGAGCTGATTAGAGATGTCATATACTGTAAATTCAGAAATTAATGCTTACATTTACATGCATTGTACAATACACACAGAGCAATTCAGTAATTTTTCAAAATGAGGGCTGTTGACTTTGGAATATTCCATGTGAGAAATAAGAAATATTCAGGTGATTTTTATAATTTGTGAGTCAAGAGTCTTCTAACCTTCAATAACTGTGTCATAGAAATTCACTTAATAACACCAACTTTTTTTTTACTGAATGACATCATGTGTAATGTATCAATGAACAAAGTTTAAAGAAATCTGATACAGCAAAATGTGACAAATCGCTTTGATAAACATGATAAAAAAACATTTCACTAATTTATGAATTTACAGTAAAAAAAATCATTTCATCCTTCTATAGCAGCCATTTACAATTGCAAAAAAGTCATTTAACTTTTAAAAGTGACAAGCGCAAGAATTTATATAAATAGAAAATTTCATTTAAGATTTATTTTTCTTTGTTTCATCATTTTCATAGAAAAGCAAAAGTCTAAAATTAAAATGGCAAAAAGAGCAATATTTATATAATATAGTTCTGACTGTAAAATATATATATACTCCTGTGCCCATCCAAAATGCTTCTGGGAAGAGGAATACATTAAAAAGTAATTTTGTACTATACAATGTACAATCAGGAAAAAGTCCTAAATAACATGATATGCAATGTATTGCAAAATGAGAATGGCTACTACAAAAACATAAATGGATCAAGGAGGTACAAATAACAAGTTACCATAGTTACCATGTATGGGGAAAATTGAGATGTAACTTATTTTCATGCTTCCAGTTTATATTTCAGCCTACATGTAAATAGTTATACTACTACACTGAAAAGGCAAAGAAGACAATCATGTTGTTTATTGGTCCAACATAATCTATGTAAATTTTCACTTGTAGAGCCTGACTCCAAATTAGATTCTTGTTCTTCAGACTTTTATGTTTAAAAAATTGGAGTTAGTCTTTCATTTTTTCATTTTGAATAATACTAATTCAAAGATGGAACTAAAGAGTAATTAATATAGACCACCTCATTTTAGATCTGTAGCTGATGATCAAATCTATTTTGAGTTACAATGTTGTTTTCAATCTTCAATTGCCCTGAATAACAGGGATTATCTAGACAAACCTTAACTGGAAGGTCAAACATGAAAACAACCATCTACTTTTGATTTTACCCATACATGACAACTTATTCCATCACCATGGCGACCTCTTTAGACCAATATTTTGCTGGTTACCTTCAACAATTATCACAGCTGTGTAATTAAATTTGTGGAATATTTGGTCAAGTGCCCATTTGTAATGGCGTGCAATTTTGTAGTAACCCTTGAACTTCTTCTTTGGTGAAGGTAGATTAATATCAGTAAGATTTGGATGCTGAAAAGACACAAAGTTCTATGTGACAGTATTTTTGATAGGTTGAAATAAAAAATGTAACAAAGACTTTGATTGCATGGCTGCTAGAAATGGCATGTTTCAGCATATCTACTTCACATATATATATATCAGAATATACAGTATACATGGTTTTCTTTGATATCTTCATTTTCATATATACTTAAAATGTACTAATAAAAGAAATGCACAGTCCTCTCTCCTCTTCGTGTTTTTTTCTGAATGTTTTGCTATAGATCATAAAAAAACTACAGCATAAAGAGGAATTGAATGTAAAGATAACAGCAAAAATCTTATTTTTAAACAAAGTTTCAAAGGTAAATTTTTTTTAATGATGTGTTGAGGAGAAATACGGCTAGTGAAAAGATGACTATAACCATTTTATTCTTTATTTCATTTAAAAACTTTTAGAAAGCTTCATATTTCCTAAAATTTTTATCCTTTTTAAAAATTAAAAAGATTACAAAAAATTTCAAATTTCCCACACATCAAATGCATTGTCTCAATTTCTCTACAATCCATTTGATTGATTAAAAGATCAAACCTTTTTAACCCCAAAGAAATTTAACTGATTGATTAATTGATAAATTGCTAACATCAAGTGTCAAATATTTCATGCATGTACAGAACAAGAACATACACACCTAAAGTAAGTGACAGTTAACTTGTACAGGCCAAGAACATACACACCTAAAGTAAGTGACAGTTAACTTGTACAGGACAAGAACATACACACCTAAAGTAAGTGACAGTTAACTTAAGCTTGTACAGGCCAAGAACATACACACCTAAAGTAAGTGACAGTTAACTTGTACAGGACAAGAACATACACACCTAAAGTAAGTGACAGTTAACTTAAGCTTGTACAGGCCAAGAACATACACACCTAAAGTAAGTGACAGTTAACTTGTACAGGACAAGAACATACACACCTAAAGTAAGTGACAGTTAACTTGTACAGGACAAGAACATACACACCTAAAGTAAGTGACAGTTAACTTGTACAGGACAAGACCATACACACCTAAAGTAAGTGACAGTTAACTTGTACAGGACAAGAACATACACACCTAAAGTAAGTGACAGTTAACTTGTACAGGACAAGAACATACACACCTAAAGTAAGTGACAGTTAACTTGTACAGGACAAGGTTTCACAAAATGTCTTTTATTAATTCACTGTATGCTAACCTCTAAATTAAATGTCTTGTCTTGTTTTGTTGTGTTGTTAAGTTACTGTCTCATTGACTTTTGTTTAATCATTATCAAGATACTCTCTCATCCAAACTACCCCATAACTATTGAATCCTGTAGATTTGCTTTTTTATCAATACTATAAATGAAAAGCTTTGCAGCAGGACATTTCAGAGAGTGACATATTGTGTAGATTGATTGTTTGATTATTGGCATTTTAACCTCAATTAATTTCAAAAGCACACTTGGCTATTCCATAGTGGCCAGTTTTATTTAGCAGAAGGATAAGATTCCCCGGAGAAAACCCCAAACCATCAGCAGGAAAACTTACAACCCTAGTCAAATAATATAGTGGAACACATCTGCCACGAGCAAGGTTTGAACTCTTAACCTCAGTGTTGACAGGTTAGTAAACATGATAGACAAATTACTTAAATTACTCAGCCACCGAAGCCATGCGTTCATATTGATCTGAGTAGATACTGACCTATTGTTGAAGACTATAATGTGCCCCATTTATAAATGTCTGTTGAATATAATGGGCATTGGGTTGTCTAAAATATTGACCTATAACCCATATCTTATGTCATCCAAATTTACCCCATATCTTTTACATCTTGTAATTGTAAATTTGTTTTATCAATAATGCAAAAGACATTGCACATTTACAAACATCAGAAACAGAAAACGCCTGAACCAAGTCAGAGAGTTGTTTTCTAGTTGTTCCATTGGTTGATATATCGTTTGCTTTTGTCAGGCTTTATGGACCTCTTCTTTTTGAATTAACCTTGTAGTTTTGATAATTTTTTTATTCAATTTTTCACAGCTGGTGCCAAACATCAGCAGTGTTCTCAATAAGTTTTTGAATAAGAGGAAGAAAAATAAAAGTAGAAGGCAATCATGAGGGCCGCAAGGCCCGAAACGAGTGTCGCAGGCGCAAGAGAGGGTGAGCATGAGGGGGTGTCCCCCTTTCTCGTTAAGTAGTGGTTTTTCCCACGAGAAAATTATGAAAATCTAGATTGCAGGAGGTGGCATCTGGGCTGCTCTGAGTAGATTTTGACCTCTTATTCTTCATGCTAATTTGTCCATTTTTAGTAGCTCATTTAAATTTTTGCTCAAAAATTGAAAATTAATGTGATTTTTTTTGCAGATTTTATATGACATGGCTTGCTTCACCCCTTTCCAAGTTCAATGTTCTTCTTATTGCCATTCTATATCACTAAGGGCTATTCCAGAATTGATTGTATGGGGAGGGAAAGGCACTTTTTATGTGAATAAAATTTTAAATCATTTTTCCTTTATTTTAAGTTTTGGTTGGGAAAATATGTGAAGTAGCTCATGCAATTTTTTTTATTGATGTGTCTTCCCCCTCCCCATAAATACATTTCTAGAATAACCCTTATAATTGTGTCTTCACTTCATATTATTTCTTAGTGTCTTGTATTATCATGATTATAGTTTCAAATAGAATTCATTGAGAACATTAATTTATTTTTTATTCAGTCATTCAAAAACTGGTAAGATTTATATTTAGAGGAAACCATAGTTGCCTTTGGAAACTGTCAACCTGCAGTAAGCAACTGACAAAATATGGCTAGCAAAAATAATAAATTTTAAATCAAGGAAACATGTAGTGTCAACGAGTTTATCAGGTTACACTCAATCGTCTCTGTTAGTCAGAGGGTACAAGTTAAATCGGCACCTATCGAAAAAGTCAAATCGGCATCTGATCAAATAGGCACCTATTTTAAAGTCATTTTGGCATTTAGTTGGTCAGTTCGGCAGCAAATAATAATTTTCATCTGTTTTCTGCATTTTAATTATTTAGAAAAAAATGAAGGGTTGGATTTTATTTTGTTCAGTACATTGTTAAAAATAATCTTGTTATTTAGAAGTAAAATGTTTGAAGTTTTTTTTTAAACTCCTATGACTAATGTTTTGATTTGATTTGTTTCTTTTCAATTAATTATTTAATTAAATAATTAACATGTATGTTGTTTTACCTCTATGCAGGTAGCTATATATATATATAGTTATTGATGTTTTTTCTTCAAAAACTTAAATAAAAACCAATGAAGCCATTACCCAAGCTGTTGTTTAATCATGAAAAATAAGAAGCAATAAAAGGGCAAACTATGAGTCCCTGTCATCAATATCAACTGGTTAAAACATGCATAATAAATATCCAATACCTTGAATACAAATATAGTTGCCCGAAGAAAATACACAAAGAAACAAAAAGAACTTGATTATTTACAATAATTAATTCTGGCCATCCTCCTTCATTATTTTAACCCTTTTGCTTAAAATACAAAAAAAAATATATGTTCAACCTATATTTGACAAGGTACCTAATTGAGTATACCACATTCCAAAGTGACTAGAATTCGTCAGATGTGGACTGATTTCACCGTGTTTTATTTTACTTTATACTCCGGCGATTAAACAATAAAATACATAAATGCACACAAGTTTAAATCCATACTATGAACATCAAAATTATTTATTTTGTAAAAATATTTCCTTTCTCTATTGGTACTGTACATGTATACCTAACAACAAAATTATTTTCATTTACCTGTGTTTAAAGTTATTGCAAATGGATGGTATTTTTGTTCGAGCATATTGTTTTTCTTTAATTGTTTAACATTTCTTACCGATATAACATGTTATTTTTATTATTCTTCCCTTAGTTTATTTATTTTGTATTCAAAATTATTTATTTTGTAAAAATATTTCCTTTCTCTATTGGTACTGTATACGTATACCTAACAACAAAATTATTTTCATTTACCTGTGTTTAAAGTTATTGCAAATGGATGGTATTTTTGTTCGAGCATATTGTTTTTCTTTAATTGTTTAACATTTCTTACCGATATAACATGTTACTTTTATTATTCTTCCCTTAGTTTATTTATTTTGAATTTACATTGTGTCTATTGGTACTGTACACGTATACCTAACAACAAAATTATTTTCATTTACCTGTGTTTAAAGTTATTGCAAATGAATGGTATTTTTGTTCGAGCATATTGTTTTTCTTTAATTGTTTAACATTTCTTACCGATATAACATGTTACTTTATTATTCTTCCCTTAGTTTATTTATTTTTTATTTACATTGTGTCATAGGTCAAATTTATTTGTTCAGTGTATGTTCAATGGTGTTAATATGTCCTTTGATTGAGTAAAGCTATTTCAGTTGATATCTCATAGTGTGTCTTTCTATGTTGTGATGTTACACTATTGTATCAGAAAAAGGGTGAAGGTTTAGTACCATTAAAACGTTTAAACCCGCTGCATTTGTTTGCACCTGTCCTAAGTCAGGAATCTGATGTTCAGTAGTTGTCGTTTGTTGATGTGGTTCATAAGTGTTTCTCGTTTCTCGTTTTTTTATATAGATCAGACCGTTGGTTTTCCCGTTTGAATGGTTTTACACTAGTAATTTTTTTGGGGCCCTTTATAGCTTACTGTTCGGTGTGAGCCAAGGCTCCATGTTGAAGACCGTACTGTGACCTATAATGGTTTACTTTTATAAATTTTGACTTGGATGGAGAGTTGTCTCATTGGCACTCATACCACATCTTCTTATATCAAGATACACTGAGCGAGCTTTCTTATCTTTACTTTACTGTAAATCTGGCTCACGCTAAAAGTAATCACTGATCGTCTCTTCATGTTTGAGTTTGTAACGAGCTGTCTAAAATATCCGCGTCAACATCAATCTCAATTTGTGCAGATTTTATCGCTTTGTTTCAAACGCTCAAATGATTTGATACTGGTTTACGTTTACTGTTGTATTATTTACGCCTGGTATTATTTACGCCTGGCGGACGACTCGGAACCAGTTAGTAAAAAAAGATGTAAGACAGATCCAGACTATGCGATGTTCGCGTATGTCATATTTTTGTCAATAAATTAATAGCCGGCACAAAACACGCAATAGGCGGCGGATTTTGCCGGTTGCCAGCTCTTATTGAGAACACTGATCAGATACAATACCTTTATATGGGTGACCAGTCCTTTCTCTTTCTTGACATATGTTTGTATGACATCAGATGTAGGCTTGTGGCCACAGTCCTGAGAGACAACAATAGGGAACCTGTCCCCTTTTGGACGAATTCTAAAAATGCAATTAAAAAAAATTCTTTTCAATATTTCACCATTAAAATCCAGAAATATATGAATAAAATCACAAATGTAGGGAACAAAAGAACACTTTCTTTCTTGTTTAATTCTATTGGGCATGATAAGTCCTTACTCAGCCTCTTTATCATAATATGTAGGTAGAATACAGGTCTTTACATATTGACAGTAGACTTAGACAGAAATTATATTTTCATTAATGTTTCTTGTAGTCTAACTTATCTTATAGAAACAGTGTAAGTTTCAATTGTTCTACTAAGATCTTTTTCAACGGAAATGTATGTTGAATTTCTAATATACATTTTTGTAGCAACAATAAGTTTTTTCATATTTTTAATTTTTTATAACTATAATAAACTTTGCTATATAGACCTATAGTTGTTAACTTCTACATCATGTGGTATCTGGAGGAAATTTGTCTCATTGGCAATCATACTGCATCTTCTTATTTTTAAATTTGCTACTTGTTTCTATCATCCTTTGACCTTTACCCAACTACATGTGTCCTTATTTTGCAGGTAGAATGCCTGTCAATGAATAAGGACAATAAACATGATGGAAACTCGTTCATTCTAAGCACTGGAATCAGTGAACCAAGTACAATGAACCAGACTGCAGAGATCAAGCTAACAATCAGCTCGGTTGGACCTAGTAGGAAGAATTTTAGAAGGTTCAGTAATTGACATCTTTGTGTCAGTCTCACTGATCTAAAAACATTTTTACTGATTCAGGCCATCAAAAATTAGATTTCTGTCAATGCTGGTTACCTCTTAGACAAAGGTACCTTTGATGATCTTTGATAAAGTCAAAAGTCATAACAAATTGGTAAATACTTCTGTTCCTATCTGTTTAAGATATATTTTAGGAACTAGTTTCCATTCACTATTTTGATTTGTATCCTATTGGTAATCGTTGTAATTAGTTGATTGTTTCCATAAATGGCAACATGGCCAATAGATTTCACAAAAAGATTTTTATCTGGTAAAATAATATATACATTATCTATCAATTCAGATCATGACCAAAAAAGCCAAGAGGTCGGCATACGAGAAAATCTGAATATCATGAAGAATTGATAACTTGATGTTGCAGGCACTAAGGTTGTTTAAATTAAATGTGGTATCTTTAAGGCATTAACTTGTGTACTTTAATAATAATGTATTGCATGTGAAGTATTTAAAGATTTTCAAAAAAAAGGTCTGGCTAAAGTTGATAGGTCCAGAAAAACTGTTTTTCTTGCAGGACCCAACATCTGACAGGAAAATATTATCTCAATCTCTGCAACTGTGAATTTCTGTACTTACTTTAATAAAGAATCAAGACTACGACTAACTGTAGTTCTATCACAGGAAAACATTAACACAGCTATTTTATGTGTGGCAGGATCAGTGTCTTCAACCCCATGAGTTTTCAGCCTGTTGGCTTTTTCTTTCTTCACTAGATAAATAATAGAAAGTACATAAGTATTTAAGAAATAATTATTTCATGCCATGCTCAATGCTCATCTTAACATGGGTAGGCATTATATTTGTCAATGTCTTTATACGGAGCGTTAGCAAGGTGTAAAATGTTGACAAATGTAATGCCTACCCATGTTAAAATGAGCATAGAGCATGGCATGATAGAATTATTTCGATTCAAATCAGAAAATTTAGAAGTTTTGTACTTTGAAGCGGGCCTATAATACTTGTCGAAAGGCAGCCATTTTGATTTTATGAATCCAAAACAATATAGAATATCAACTGTTTCACGATAAAAAATGAACAGATACATGTTAACTTACAATAAGAATGATTTTATTTAATTTCCTAGCGATCAACACCAACGCAAATGTCCATCATGTCCGTTTTGTTCTCCTGCATTGTTCAAAATACAACTGATGTTGCAATTTCAATTGTGACGTCAATCATGTGCAGGCCATGTTCTATTGCAATTAGAACATGGCTTTGTTTCCAACATCATATTAGAATTGTTAATAGCATATTAAAAGGATGACGGGGATCACAATAAATTTTGGACTATTATTAGAGGAGTGGAACACAGACATTCACCTTCTATTGCACGATTTCGTTAACAAGTGTGTATAGACTTTCATTTTGACTTCTATTTTGATTTCGTCATAATTATTTTTGTAGTAACACATTAAAATTATCGTTATTTAAAGTTGAAATGACGATTTCGTGCTGAAATCAGGTGACTGCTGAAATGAGTTAAATTATATAGAGAGAATGTTTGGGAGGGTCTGAAAGTGACTGTTAGAGGCAGGTGACAACTGAAACAAGGTGGCCGTTAAGGCAGGTTTGACTATCTGAAAAAGAGTAAAAAAACAAGGTAGGCCACCGTCCTTAATAGTAATATTCTGTATTGTAACTGACATGACTGAAGTGACTGTTTCCCATAATGCAGCAGAATCTATCTATCAATACCTGTATCGTCTTTAATTTGTCGAAGATCTTCCAGTAACTTTTCGTTATCTCTGAGTTGTTTTTCTATATCATTCTGTAGCCATCTCAACTTATCACTGACCAACACACGGTTCTCATTCTGTAAACAACAAATAAGAATTGATCAATAACCAACACAATAGTTAATAGTTTCTCACTATCTTTTATAATTCTTGCCAAAAGAGACAATAAACAGCTGCGTCATGAGCGCATGATACGCCCGTTGCGTTTTCAAAGAATAAAGTTCAATAACTTCTCAATGTCATATCAGAAATTTATGAAAAACTAAAGGGAGGTTATCTTAATAGATATAAACCAGTCACCAAAGTTTCATAAAAACTGCTCAAAGCACTTTAAAGATATTGTCCGAAAACTGGAAAATCACCCCTTTTTTATGAATAAAATCCCATAACTTAAACGTAAAATCAAATTTATAAAAATCGAAAGAGAGCTTACGTCAATAGATATAAACAATTCACCAAAGTTTCATGAAAACTGCTGAAAGAATTTTTGAGTTATTGTCCCAAAACTGGAAAATCCCCCTTTTTTAATGAATAAAAACCCAACAACTCGGAAACGTAAAATTTGAAATTTTTATAAATTGAAAGGGAACTCACATCAATAGATATAAACAATTCACCAAAGTTTCATGCAAATTGGTTAAAGGGTTTTTGAGTTATTGTCAGACATGTTGATGACGGATGGACGGACAAGGGTATACCATAATACGTCCCGTAAATGGATATTTAAAAGGGTAAAAATTGTCTATTCAGGACAATTACGACTGCAATCTGGCTACATTTTTTATCTATGTAGATCTTAGGTCTTGCTGATCATTTTCCTATGTCTAGTTTCTCTTTATCAACTAAAGTCATGAAGGTTTTTCACCAAAAAAGAAAAAAAAAGGGTGAAAGTTATCATTTTAGGCCTAGGACAATAACTCCTATATAAAGAGTTGACTGATAATTTCTGCAATGTTGACATATTGGTAGATCTTGTAGTAGTACTGCATGATGTATTATAGTTCAAAATAAAGAGAAAACCTGTAAAACATTAGTAAAAACATCCACCATGTCCACTGATTTGTTGATCTTGTCTTGCTGATCAATTAAATTGCTATTTAAAGTTTCTATCTATATATGTTTACAAGATAATAGACAAAAACACAAAACTATAGAGGCTCTACAGAGCAGGTGTTGCTCACCTAGGTCTATATACATATTCAACAAAGGACACTCTCATTGTAGATGAGAATAGAATTCATGACAAAAATCTCTTTTATGTTGATCTTGTTTTGCTGATCGTTTTGTCTGTTTAGTTTCTCTCTATCTTTTTAATTTTTGCTCAACACTCAAACACAAAAGAGGGTAAAAAAAATCCTCATTTCAGGACAATAACTCCAATAAAGAGTGGCAGTCTACTTACTATATCGGCAAAATTTGACTTGTTTGTAGATCTTGCCTTGCTAATCATTTTTGTTATTTAAAGTTTCTATCTATCTATTATATCTTTATCATATAAGGCAAAACGCCCAAAAAAAAAGGTAAAAATTGACAAAAGGTAATAACTCCAATAAGGAGTCGTCATACAATTTCCTCCATATTGTCTGAATTGTAGATCTTGACTTGATGATCATTTTTTCCTATTTAAGTTTCTATCTATCTATTATAATTTTAAGATATAAGGCAAAAACGCAAAAAAAATGGTAAAAATCGTCATCAAAGGGCAATAACTCTAACAAGGAGTCGATTGACGATTTAAATCATGTAAAACATATTTTTAGATCTTGTCTTGCTGATCATTTTTACAATTTAAAGTTTCTCTGTTAATCTATTATAGTTTTAAGATAATAGGCAAAAATGAGAAAAAAATATGGTAAAATTTGTACTTTAAGGGCAATAACTCCTATAAGAAGTCCCCTAACAATTAGTAGAGCTCAACATACTGAACATTTTTGCCCTGTCAGATTTACTCTATTCATTATGGTTTTCAAAATATTAGACAAAACTTGCATTTTACCCCTATCATGCCTATGTTCTACTTTTAGCCACTTCGGCCATCTTAGTTGGCAGGCAGGGTCATCAGACACACTTTTTAAACTAGAGACCCTAATGATCACTGTGGCAAAGTTTGTTTAAATTTGGTCCAGTAGTTTCAGAGGAGAATTTTTTTGTAAAAGTTAACGGACGATGACAATGGACAACAGACGACAGACGCCAAGTGATGAGATAAGCTCACTTGGCCCTTTAGGCCAGTTGAGCTAAAAATTGGTAAATTGGTCATTAAAGGACAAGAACTCCAATTCTGAGTTAACTGACAATTTTGGCCATGTGACTTATTTTTTGTTCTGGTGTTGCTGATCATTTTTGAAATTAAAAGTTTCTCTCTCTCTGTCTTTTATACTTTTCAAGATAATAGGCAAAAATGAAGAAGAAAAAAAGGTAAAATCTGACATTCAAGGCAATATGTGATTAAAATACAGATCCCGTGTCCATACTTTGCTTTCAAGGAACTAACAAAACTCTGATCTACTTTCTGCTCTATTATTTCATCTGATTCAGCAAATGAACTTCTCTTCTTATAGATATCTTAAAGATAATAGACATCACTCCCATTTTGAATAGTTATCAGTCAAGGGTATAACTTATATAATTAGTTATTAGAAAATAAATGGAAAATGTGTCCCCATGGACACAGATGATGCCCCCGCTTGCATACAACATTATAAAGGGACATAACTCAAAAACAATAAAAGTGACGCTACCCAAATTTGTACTAGATCTGAGTTTTGTGGTAATAAGTATTGTGTTTAGGTTTCATAATGTTTGGTTGGGGCAAACTTAAGTTACAGAACGAAACTAAAAATTTTGCAATTTTTCGATTTATAAAGGGGCATAACTCAATAATGGTTCAAGTGACGCAACCAAAATTCAACTTGATCTGTGTTTTGTGGTAATGAGCATTGTGTATAAGTTTCATAACATTTGGTTGACATGGTTGAGGCAACTTAAGTTAGAGAACTGAAACTAAAAATTTAGCATTTTTTTTTCCCATTTATAAAGGGGCATAACTCGAGAATGGTTAAAGTGACCCCACTAAAATTCAAACTTGATCTGTGTTTTGTCGTAATAAGCATTGTGTTTAAGTTTCATAACATTTAGATGAGACAAACTTAAGTTAGAGAACGGAAACTAAAAATTTTGTAATCTTTTCATTTATAAAGGGGCATTACTCTAAAACGGTTAGAGTGACGCTACCAAAATTCAAACTTGATCTGTATTATGTGGTAATAAGCATTGTGTATAAGTTTCATAACATTTGGTTGAGGCAAACTTTAGTTAGAGAACGAAAACCAATTTTGGGACGTACGGATGGACAAGGGTAAAACTTAATGCCCCCTCCGCTACGGCGGGGGCATAAAAATAACATACATGTCGTTATTGTGGGCTAAAATATAAAAAAAACTGTGATAACATATGTATGTTACATGTTTCAAAGTGGCAATATACATCATTTGTTTTGTTAAAATGTTTACAAGTTCTATTGATATTATTATTGTCTTTATGTATACTAAACTTTAGAAAGATATAACAGTTCATAGTTTACCAATCATGCATAGTACACCTATGTTATTACAGAAAAATATGCATGTAATAACTAAAGGGTGTTATTACAGCTTCTCTACATAACTTCAAAGCATTTGCTCAGACATATATCATGCTTAATCACAATGTATGTTAATTTATTGTAAGAAATAATGATCAGAGCATGTAATGAGAATCTGCGCAAGCTTCCAAGTTCCAAGTAATTACCAAACTGTCTCATATAATACATGTGATAAGTTACATGCCTGTAATAACTAAGTCTTGTTATTACAGCTAAGTTTAATCCCTTGAAATCCTTGTTTCATTGATTTACCATGGTTGATTAAAAATGTATTAATTTAATTTGAAAATTAGTTATCAAGGCTATGTATTAAGTTACTGCGCAAAGTTTCAAGAATTCCTTAATGCCCACAAAAAATAAAAATATTTATGATTATTTAACAAATAAAAAACGTATGTTACTACAGATGAAGAAAATTTTAGAAACAAAAAGTAGACAACTGTATCTGTAATAACAACATGCATGTTATTTTCTCTAATAACTTATTTAAGTTATACCCTTGACTGGTTATAGCATTATTTGTATGATGCAATTCCTGAAATCACAATAATTCATTTAGCACTTTTGACCATTGTTCAACAATAGAAATAAACTGCTTCGCTGAGTGCAGCTGGATACGCCCGCAGAGGTCCAACCCTGAACAGTTGGGGCAAAAATGGACACAATATTCAAGCTTGATACAGGTCTGAATTTGGATTGTAATTAAATATTTGACATATTATAGGTTTCTGAATAAATGTAGTCAAAGAACTTGAAATTGGTTATATGAATTGAACTTATATTCAATTAAAGATTTCTTGCTGTTGTTGCAATACACTGTGCTGTTGTGCAATACACTGTGCTGTTGTGCAATACTTAGTTTTAAAATCTGTTGTCAGACTATAAACAAATAAAGTTCAATTAATTCTCAATGTTATATTAGAAATTTATGAAAATGTAAATGGAGTTTACATAAATAGATATAAACAATTCACCAAAGTTTCATGAGAATTGCTGACAGCATTTTTCAGTTATTGTCCGAAAACTAGAAAATCTCCCCTTTTTTAATGAATAAAACCCCATAACTCAGAAATGATAAATGAAAAATTTATAAAATTCTAAACGGAGCTTACATCAATAGATATAAACAATTCATCAAAGTTTCATAAGGACTGCTGAAGTTATTGTCTGAAAACTGGAAAATCCCCCCTTTTTTAATGAATAAAACCCCATAATTCAGAAATGATAAATGAAAAATTTATAAAATTCTAAACATGGCTTACATCAATAGATATAAACAAAAGTTTCATAAGAACTGCTGAAAGCATTCTTGAGTTATTGTCAGAAAACTGGAAAATCCCCCTTTTTTTAAAGAATAAAACCCAATAACTCGGAAAAGTAAAATCTAAAATTTATAAAAATCGAAAGGGAGCTTGTGTCAATAGATATAAACAA